CCGCGCCGCACTGAGGCAGGAGGTGGGAGGGAGGGGCAGGCGCTTAGAGAAACGCCCAGCATGCTCCGCGCCGCAGGAGGCAGGAAGGCAGGCAGATGGTCAGAGCCGACGCCCGGCATGCTCCGCGCCGCAGCTCAAGGCGGAAGGCGGGAGGCGGGAGGGAGGGGCAGGCGCTCAGAGCAACGCCCAGCATGCTCCCGCTCCCACCGCACGAGGCAGGAAGGCAGGCAGGCGGTCAGAGCCGACGCCCACCATGCTCCACGCCGCGCGAGGCGAGAGGGAGCGGCCTGCCTCTGCCCTTAGCGAAGGGGCCTTTTCAGTACCCAGGACCAGGTATCAGGAAAGGTGAGGGGCTCCCAAGGTGCAGCCAGGGACCTATAACTACGTATGAGGAAGGGCCCTCCACTCTGCGTGACCTGCCCGGTGCAGACAGCACAGTGCTGGGCCCGGGTGCAGGGCAGCCAGCGTCTCTGAGGGGCAGCCCCAGGGAGCCACGCCAAGTTTAGAAGAAACCCAGAGTTACAAGGCACTTTTTGCTGGAGAACGTGCCAAGTTTACATCTGAAGGGGAAACAAAATGTGACATGGTTGTGTGAGACTCGGGGACAGTTTGAAAGTTCGACAAAGACTTTTAATGTCAAAGTGGCAGCACGTTAGTTGCTGTTAGTCAACTTTTGAACAGTTTTAAAACACTGAACAGCTTAGCTGGACAGGGAATTAGTTACACACTAATGACGTAAGTTAACAGCTGGTTAAGTTTTGTTTCATCACAGTATTCATTTGTTAATGAGGTGAAGCCATCTCAAAGGTCATTAATGTACTGAGAACGCCTGCCTGTTCTCAGTGGGTCCCCAGCATCTAAGGCAGAACATGACGTCTCGTCATGGTGACCATCTGGTGTCTTCACTGGGACTACTCTCATCATGACACTATCTGGCTGCTACCACAAACACTAAGGACTCAGAGGCTCTGCTGAGAGGGTAGTGGCCCCGCTCTTGGTGAAGGGGGATCCCGGGGAGGTCAGGCTCTTACTTGGAAGTGGTCTTCAGCTGCCTTGCCACCCACGTTAAGGACATTCAGAGAACTGGCACGCTTCAGGCTGCAACCGCGACAGTGGACATGCAAGGACAAACAGTCAGAAGGACATCAGCCCAGCGCTGGGACAAGAGAGCAGCCCCTCTGAGGCCCTGGCACTCTCTGCATGTGTGGGGCTCCCACCCCCTGAGCCCGGCCTTGCTCATCTTCCGAGTTCCCCATGTGGCCTGTGAATACTTGGCCACGGCACCTGGCAAGTCTCGCATCACCAGCAAGGTAAGGCCAGAGGCATAAACACACGTGTTTCCTTTCCTTGTTTATCAGCGGAAAAAGTAAGTTTTGTTAAAATCAACGCTGAAGCCATGGGTCTCTACGTGACATTTTCAACACATGATATCATGGCTTTACACCGAAAGAAATACAGTGGGTTTTTAAGAATAGATTCACTTTTCATCTCTTGTCAAACACCTTGAAAACACGTGGTGAAACACCCTGTAACTCATCTCTGCCCTAATTGGATGCCTTAAAGTGGCCATAACGGCTCCCCACCAGCACTGAAGGTGGAGGGAGCCACGGTGAGGCTTACGTTAGGGGTGAACTAGTGTCAGTGCTCACGAAGGGCCATGCACACAGTGGGAGCAGTGTTATCGTAAGGACAGGAAGCTCAAGCACAGGGTTAGCACAGACTCGTGGGCGCGGTGTCAGCTCACCCCAGTCCAGGAGCTCTGGGGGTGGAGTGGGGAAGGCATCGGCTGCTAACCAGGGGTCAGTGGTTCTAAACCCCCAGCTGCTCTGCAGGAGGAAGGTGAGGCGATCTAGATTTACAGTCTTGGAAACCCAGCAGGTTGCTACGAGTCAGAATCGACGCAATGGCAGTGGGTTTGGTGGGGTTGTTTGGGGGGTATCCCCTACATAGAACTCACCCTAGGTATCCCAACCGGAACAAACAGAAGCATCCCAAGCAAGCAGACGCTGCTAGAGCTCCGGGCCACGCAAGACACAAGCCATGCCTGCTGAGTTCCGGTCTTGCCCCCTTCACTGTACCCGGGGGTAGGAGACTTCATGACTCCTGGAGCCCCAGCGGTGTCAGCAGGACTGTTCTCAGTGGCTGGATCTTGGGAGGCCAGTCGCAGCGAACACGGCTGTACACATGGTCGAGACAAGTGACCAGAACTACGTGTGTGGGAGCCCCCAGAGGTGCAGGTGTGGGCCGGAATGGCCACCAGTAATTGAGGCCGGCAGGGCGGCTGAACCCGAGCCCTTCCCAAGGTGAAGAGGTTTGGGTAAAAACCCCATCAAAAGGAGGAAGGACAGGCATGCCAGAGGTGAAGGGATGAACGAGTGGCTTCTGCGCAGGGAAATCCAATGTGTTAACCCCTCAGGGAGTGGCTCAGAGCAACAGAATGATCTTGTCTCTGCAAGTTCTGAGGGCAGAAGGGTGAAGCGGGGCGGCACTGGAACCTCCCTGGGTAAGGACGCCTGCAGCAGTCGGAGGGCTGCCCCCAGTGTCCCTCCCAACAGTATGTGACAGGTTGATGGTATGCTGGAGCTAAGTGCTGAATGGCTGAGTTATGGACAGGTGGACAGGACGGGGTCGCCCTCCAGAAGTTGACACCTAACAGAAGGCCATCAGGCACTGACAAGCCATCTGGTTCAGCCCTGACCTGTAGGAAATCACCCTGAGGAGGTGGGCTACACTGGCCATGGCTGTGGGGTCTGGTAACCAATGAGTATGTGGATTGGCTGGGAAGAGTCCCAAATGTTTGACCAGGGCTCTGGAAGCTTCCTGAAGGAGAATCCTGGAGAGGATGTCGAGTCACAGACCACATCACCCTAATGCAGTGAGATGCACGATGGGCAGCAAACTACTGAACTCGGCTCAGAAACGCAAAGTGCCCCGTGGGGGGAGCCGCTGGGTCTGAGGAAATTAAGTGGCTTCCTGGCGATGAGCCTGGCCCCCACCCCCCGTGACCAGCTTCGTGCTGGCTGCTGCTCTGAAGCCACCTGTGTAATCTCACGAGGTGGTCCCAGCAGCCAGCCTCTCGGTTAGCAGCGGGGGGCTGTTTGCACAGCCTGGGACTCCATGTCCAACTGAACTGTTTAACCAGGTGGCATTTTCTTCTGTTGTATGGGGTCGCTCTGAGTCGGAGCCAACCCAACGACATGTGGCGACAACCCAGCCCCGTTTCACTGGCCCACCTCAAGGCTTACATACCGAGAACATTCATGGGCACTAAGCATGGGCATTGCCCACCTGTCTCACTCAGCAACCTCAAGGGCGCTCCTGTATGGACCAGTCCATGAGGACTCGCTGGGAAGGTGGGCCACACCCCACCAACCCACTGGTCAGAACTGGGGGTGCCGAGGGCTCTGAGTTTAAACGGCCTTCTAGAACATTCTGGAATGTGAGGTGTGCTCCATTCAAGAAGCCCTGGTCTGCTGATACAAAGAGCTCATCTTACTAGGAAAGACGCTTCAAACTTAGACCTTCTGAGATGAAATTTCTAACATCTTAGCCTGAGGGGGTGGGCGCATGCCTGCTGGGGTGTGCGAGCCAGTCTGGTGGGGCGCACGTGCACGCCTGCCGGGTATTTGAGTCAGTCTACCAGGCACGTGTGCACGCCTGCCGGGGTGTGCTGCGTGTCTGCCCGGGTATGTGCCTGTGTTCTGCCCGGGGGAGGCCTGTCCAGGCCCCCAACTCATTATCATCTCGTCGGAGTGCTCACACGGTTCCATTTTCTTCCTCTTTTTAAAATCTCAGTAAAGACGGAAAGGAAATGTGAAAAACGAGAAAGCAAGCCCAGGTTCCTCACTCAGGAAGTGCATCCATGCTGTGACCTTGGCACCAGAATGAGCTTTGGACTTGAAAAGCTTCAAAACACCCAGGATCTTACACAGCTGAGGCACGTCCCCATGCCACCAGCAGTGCCCACGGGCAATGGGATGGTGGACACACCGATCACTTGTCACCTTCAAAGTGGTGAGAAGTGGCTCAGGGCCCTCACAATGCCACCAGCAAAAAGCCCCACCCCCCGCAAACGTGCAGAGGCCAGCAGCAAGCTGGCCGTCAGGTATTTACAAGAGGAGTGCTGATCCACAGACAGCTCAGAGCCCACTTTCCAAGCAAGAGCCCCTTCATCTTCTTGCACTAGGCCCTTGAGAGTGAGGCTGCTTGCTAAGAACTCCTACACTTCCAGAAGCCAGGCCCCTCCTCCCCGGACAGCATGGAGCTCAGAAACATTCTCTAAGGACGGGCAGCTAAATGAGAAGCGGGCCAGGCTCCTGGAAACCAAATGCTGCCCCTAGACTGAAAGCCTAGACTGGCTGGCCTTCAAGAGCTGTGATGCTCACACTGGGGGCAGAGAGCTCAGAGGGGACCCGGGGGACACAGGGCCCAGGACAGTCCCACACTGCACCCAGGGTCAGAGAGCTCATGGCGGACCCGGGGGATGCAGGGCTCAGGACGGTCCCACACTACACCCCTAGGCCAGAGAGCTTTCAGGACACACGGAGCCCAGGACAGTCTCACATCGCACCCAGAGCCAGCAAGCTTTCAGGGGACGCCGGGCCCAGCACGGTCCCACATACTGAACAGCAGAAGCAGAGGTGGCCCTCTGTTCCCCCACTGCACCGAGGTGGCTCCAGAGGGAGAGGACTGTGACACCAGGGGCTCAGGATCAGGGCCCAGTGACAACATGAGGAACAAGACTCAGTCCACTTAGACGAGTGAATTAAAAAGACGACAGCAAACGAAATGACCCAAAGGACAGTGACTTTGCTACGCCCGCCACATTGGCTGAGCGTGGCCGCACAGGCTGTGGCGAGCAGTGTCCTTACCTGCAGGATCTGCAGTGCAGTCACCTGCAGCCTCCCGAGAGCCTTTCACAGTCTGCCCCACAGGAAGCTAGTTACAACAGCTGAGCAAACAGTGGTTTGCAAGAGACACGTCCAGAAACAGAGCCACGTGCACCAGGAAGAGCCCGGGAGGACCCTGCCTACCAGAGGGACACAGGTGCCAAGAGCCCAGCCATTTTAAGAACCAGATTCCTCTGACAGCTTCAGTTTTATTGCTTAGAAGACTCAGACCCATGGCTTCCCTTCCTCACGTGCTAAACCTAAGGTTTCAGGCCCTGCGGGAGCCCTCGTCAGTCTCAAGGGGCGTTCCCATTTGACAACATTCTCCTGCAGTAAGCCTGTGGATTCCTTCAGTTGCAGCTGATGTGTGATTTTAAAATATGAAGCTGATTTTAAAGGATTTAAACTCATGCTGATTAAAATAACAACAACGTGCATGTGGTTGTGGGCCACGAACTCTGTGCTGACTCAGTGACCCCACGGGACAGAGGAGACCCACCCCACAGGGTGTTCCTGGCTGTCATCTTTACAGGAGCAGGTCTTTCTCCTGCAGAACCCCTAGGGGGTGCCACTCGCTGACCTACTGGTTAGCAGCCTGGCACTTCACCACTGTATCACCAGGGCTCCTTTGTGTGTCCAGAGAAAACACGCTGAGCATACCTAACACTGTCATGTGAAATCCCACTACTCACTGCCAAGGCCTTCTGAACATGTCACAGGGTTGCAGGGGCAAGTCACTCTCTCTAAATCACATGGGGATTACTCAGTGTGTCCTGGGGGCACTCAACCCGGACTAGCACCTGTACTTCCGCCCTCAGGCCTGAGTACACTATGCCATCTGCAGTTGGGGGAGCAGGGCTCTCCTAGGGGCCTGTGCACGCTGTCTGTGGGAAGTGTGACCTGTGCACACCATCTGTGGGAGATGGGGGCCTCTGTATACTGTGTGGGGGAGGTGGGGCCTATGGACACAGTCTAAGGGAGATGGGGGCCTATGGACACTGCCTACAGGAGGTGGAGCCTGTGCATACCCTCTGGGGGAGGTGTGACCTGTGCACACCGTCTGTGGGAGATGGGGGCCTCTGCACACCGTCTGGAGGTGATGGGGGCCTGTGCATACCGTCCAGGGGAGATGGGGGCCTATGCACACCACCTGCAGGAGGTGTGGCCTGTGCACACTGTGTGGGGGAGGTGCAACCTGTGCACACCGTCCAGAGGAGGTGGGGGCCTATGCACACCGTCTGGGCGAGGTGGGGGCTTGTGCTCACCGTCCGGGTGAGCTGGGGGCCTGTGTCCAGCGTCTGGGCAAGGTGGGGACCTGTGCACACCGTCCGGGAGAGGTGGGGGTGAAGGCAAGACGCAGCAAGGCTGGAGGAGATAGTTACCCAGGGTTCTTGGGCTCACTCTCCCGCGAGCTTCCTCCCTTCAGTTTCCTAACCAGCTTCTCGCTGCTGCGTCTAATGGAAGCCCGGAGCTTGCTAAAGGAACCACTGCGCTTTAAAGATCCAGAGCCGTCCTGAAAGAGACGTGAACAAGCGTGAAGTACGGCAGCCGCCCTTGCGGTCCCAGGGGCCACAAGCACCCGCACAGCCACCTACGTCAGTGACCCAAGGGTGATGCACGTCCCACAGGCATCTACCCAGTGTGGTGTCACTGAACATGACCCAATTACCATGAGAGCCTATGAAGACAGAGCAGCTCATTGAGACAAAAGTGTACCAGCCCCAGAGAGAAGTTAAATACACTGCTGGTCGGAGACGAGAGCCACACACTAAAGCAGCCTCAGAAATTAAGGCAGCTTCTGGGAATATCATCAAAATCAAACTCCAAGCCTCATGAGCATGAGAGTCCGGTCCAGGGAACAGGACGGGACCTGAAGCACTCAGATATGACAAAACCCACCAAAATGCAATACTGAGAGGAACTTTGCACTCCAAACACCTGACGGAGCGATTTATTAAACGCTGATCACAGAGGTGCTCAGAATGTAAATAAGATGCTAATTTTTAGCAAATAACTAAAAGCCTTCAAACATCTTGTAAGAAGCAAGCTAAGAAGAGTGGCCCAGCTTTCGTTTGATTGATTCAGACAGTAATGCGTGAAATATCTGGTAATATTCAGATGTGAAAAAGCAGAAACACAGAGCAAGACAGACGTGTGCAGACTTTTATTCCGAGTGGATCGCGTTAGACACCCCGTAACTTGTTGGCTCGGGCTACATGGAGCTACACGAAGGGGGTGAGGAGGAGTGCTACGGAGCAGACAGACACCAAGACACTGGTCAGTCGGAGTGAGTTTATTAGAAGTTAGAAAGACACAGATCACAATCACTGAACACTGAGATTAGTAGAGAAAAGCAGAATGGCTGAAATTGCACAGGGACTAAACCATAGAGGCTACTTCAGAGGGATCCTAAGTGGGGCTGCGTGGCCGTGGTCTCTACACACCAGAGGCCAGCCATCAGCACGTGTCAGGCGCTCGGCACCGGCAAGTCACAGGTCACCGTCATGCGCATGTGAACGCCTCGTGGAGTTGTCAACTACCGTGTATCCACGTGAACAGCTACGCACTCGTAATGCGCAAGCCACGTGCCACAGTTGATGGGTTATTAATACAGTGTATGCTACTAAGTACATTTCTGGCGAAGCTACGAGTGTACGCAGAAACGAGGACCCCAGAAAGGACAGCAGCGCCAAGAGGGGTGGTGGTGGCAGAGCAGCGTTCTGACAGAGTCCTAGGTGGCTAAGCACGGCAGTCAGCACTGGGAGGAGAGGAGGGAGGTTGCAGGCGGTGCCGTCACGCAGGAGACAGCGAGAGACCAGAAGGCAGCTAGGCCTGTCAGACAGAAACAAGAGAAGAGTCCAGTGAGCCCATCCTGAGGGCACCCACGCCCCCCACACGCTGCCTGCTTCAGAGTTGCCAGGCCACTGGTCTGCAGGGTCTCATCGCTTCAGTACCCAGCCTTCCCATCTCCTGCTGTCAGTGGGGACCGACCCTCTCCTGGACCTCAGTCTGAGCTGGCCGACTCCTGACAGCCCACCAGACAGCACAGTGCTCCTCAACTCTGACCGCAGAGGCCGTGTTCTCGTGCCTGCGGGAGCACCTGGGGTGGAACCTCCCACAGGGGCCCTGAAGCCAGGCTGCCCCGACAGCGCACCTGTGAGCTGAGCCTCCTGTCTGCAGCCTGCCTCACCCACAGGTGTAGCTGCACACTCTCAACAGCCCTAACACCCTATGCGTTTCGAGAGCCTAAAGGGACACTGCCTTGTGACCATGCAACCCAGAGCAGGCACCAGGGGCAGAGTGCACAACAGGAAACGAACTTCCGGGACAGCAGGACGGAAGGAGCACCAGGGGGCCCAGTGCCCACCAGGCTGGACTCACCACGGGACGCGGCTCAGTTAACCAGCCCGAGCTTCACGTTTCTCATCTTTAAACGGAAAAATAACACTCATTACCAATTCCCCAAGGGTGTAGGAGGACAGGAAAACCTTAGCAGGCTCCTGCCTCGCTCAGGAAAAGGGCTGTGAATCCCATGGGGGGCACAACCGCCACTGCTCACGGCAAGACTCGGCGCCACACACAGGGCAGGGATGTCACCGATCCTGCTCTGGAAACTTGGCAGAACCCAGAAGACTGATCTCACACAGACATCAGAGATGTTTCCTGCCTCCCTCTCTCTCACACACACACATATGTGTGCTCACAATCATGTACATGCACAATCAAGCATACACACATTCACACACACAATCACGCATGGTCGCACACATACACACAATCACACACACTTCATCCCGCTCAAACGGTCACAGTCACATGCATGTGCAATCATGGCACATTATCATGCTCGCATAGTCACACACATGTTCACATGCCCACATAAGTGCCCACACGTGTGTGGGCACGTATACATCTCACGGAGAGCTGTAAACGCCATCCCCTGATGGAAACACCGCCCAGGGCCTCTCCCCACAGTCCCTCCCCACAATGACCCAGCCTGTCACACGCCTGACACGGAGCTGTGTGCACAGAAGCTGGGGAACTCGACTTTCTGGGAAAGTGACTGACCTGCATACAACACCCAGAGTTTTACCAGCAGGATCAAAAGGCTGCAGTTCAGAGTCACCCTGACAGGGGCTAAGTCTGCAGAAGTGACACACTCCCCTCAACAGAGTGTCTACTGTGCCGAGAAGCAGATCCAAGAACGTGTCCATGATTCAACCCTCCTGCAACCCTGCATCTCGCACGTTTCGACAGCGTAGGCTTCAATTCTGGCTGACACAGACTCAGGACACACAGGCGGACTGGTCCCCAAACCTAGTCAACTCAAATCTGACCACAGTCCCTTTGTCTTCCATGTTATTTCTGAGAAACTCCGACCCTGGTAACTTCTATGGATGGTTATTACCACTCAGTCAAAGCGGCCCTGGCTCCCCACTGCCTCTGCTGGGGTGGGGGCTGGGCTCCCTGCCATCTCCCCTGCTGGGGTAGGGGTGCCCCCTGCTAGAGTCAGCTCTCCCCACCATCTCCTTTACTGGGGTAGGGGCTCCCTGCCATCTCTCGTGATGGGGTCGGAGCTTTCCCTACCGCCTCTGCTGGGGTGGAGGCTCCCTGCCATCTCCTCTGCTGGGGTAGAGGTCCCCTGCTGTCTCCCCCGCTGAGGTCAGCTCTCCCATCATGTCCCCTGCTAGGGTGGGGGTTCCCTGCCACCTCCTCTGCTGGAGTTGGGGCTCCCCGCCGTGACCCCTGCAAGGGGTGGGGCTGTCCAATAGAGAAGCTTAGTACTTCATCCTATGTGATGTTTTTGAAACCTATTCTGAGCATGAGAGCCCTTTTTAAAAAGCAGAAACCGGATGCAGAGTTTGAATATAAAACAAAACAGCATGTTCTCATCAGAAAATCTAAGGCCTCAAAAGCCTACAGGCGGCCATCCAAGGCCCAGCAGTTGGTCTCTGTTTGTCCAGAACAAGAGAGCGAGGAGGAGGAAATGGGACGTGTGGCTGATGCCTCTACAAGACCAGAGGAACCGGCTGGAGCCTGGCTGCCATTACTGAACGTCCTGATCAAAGACTCCACAGAAAGCTGCCATCTAGATGCAACGATGGGTCTCTCCTCGTACAGCACCAAGAAGAATGAAGAAAACCAAAAAGTCATGGAAACAATCAGTCCTAGTGACTGTTACACCATCCAATCTGCAGCCTATACGACTATGAGACCAGAAGAAATAGATGGTGCTCGGCTACTACTGTCAACCACTTGGAAGAGGATCTTAGTAGGAGATCCTGGATAGACAGGGGGAACAATGTGGAACAAAACTCAAAATCATTTGGAAAAAAAAAAAAAAAAGCCGGGAACAGGTTTACTGGCCCGATGGAGCCTGGTGGAACCACTGAGACTGGCCCCTAGCTGCCCTTCAGGTCTGGAATTGAACACACACCTGTAGCTTCCAGCCAAGCAGTAGACAGGCATACTAGTTGAGCATTTATCTGAGGTAGATACACTCCTTGGAGAGAACAAGTAAGAGAGAAAGAAGGGCTGCTCAAGCACAGGGAGACAGCTCAGGGGGTAGGAGTGCATGGAGGGATGGTCACAGGGAAGCGGTACCTATCGGGAGGAAGTGGGAGAGGAGATGTTGCATTGTGCTAAATAGTGGTCAATATCATGAGACAAAGTGTATGTGATCTGCTGTATGGAAAGTGTATTTTCTCTGTAAATTTTCACCCAAATCACAATAAAAAAAAAAAATTAAAAAAAAAAAAAAAAGACTCCGCAGAATCCTGATCAAAAAAGGAAGAATGCAGAACAGAATTTCAAGTTCTCATGGACCCCAGACTTCTTGGAACTAGGAAGACGAGATGAAGCCCTGAAACTACTGGCCTGAGATCACCTCTAACCTTCAACCAAAAATGTTCCCTGAAGTCGTCTTAAAACCAAATACTAGTTTAGCCAAACTGGTGAAGAATGTCTGCCTGGCACTACACTCCTTTTAAGATCTATCCATACGGGATCCAGGAGCTCGGGTGGCACAGTGCCTAAGGCACTTGACTGCTAACCAGAAGACTGGCGGTTCAAGCCCACCAGCCACTCATTCCTTGGAAGGAAGGTTGGGCAATCTACTTCCATAGTGATACTACCTCGGAAACCCAAGGAGGAGTCACTATGAGTCGGATCTGACTCGACGGCAGTGAGTTTGGCTTGGTTTTTATACAGGATCCAGCTGGTAACAACCTGAAAGGAACCTGAGGGGACAGTGAGCTTATGTTAATGGAAGGGAACTGCTCAGAAAAGGCGGGGAGGGTGTCATGGAGGTGGAAGAAGGGGTCATGCTGCTGACCATACCTGGACAAGGTGTTGGACAGGTGTGTGTGCGCTGTGTGTTATTTTCAACAACAAATAAAGTATTAAAAAGAGAGAGAGGGAAGCCTATGGTGGAGCCTGAGTAGAATAAAGTGAACTAATGTGAGTGGGGTGCTCCCTTGTGAACCCCAGTGTGGGGCCCACGTTCCTGCCTGCACTGCACCTTGATGACACGGCTCTTGAAACAGCCTGTGCACACAAGGAAGGGTTGCAGAGGCCTGGTGCTCTCAGGAGGCAGAGTGCTCCCAGAAACACTGGGCAGGAGGGCTGCGCAGGACATGTCAGTGCACTAGGGACACTGCCAGCATCCGCATCCCACCGCAAAGTAACATGGCTTATCTCGTGTGGTGATCACACCTCAGTACACGTGGACCAGATCAACCCCTCAGTGTGCACATGCTGTCGCACAGTAACAACCAGTTCACATCAAGTGCTGGCAGGGTGGAGGGCTGGCTTCTCGGAGCCCTCGAGCATCTAGGGACTAGTCAGCTCCTCCCTGCAGCAGGGAAGGTGGCCTGCATCTATCTGCTTGGTCACCCTGGTGACCAGTGGTGACAATGGCCTCAAATGCCCTCACCGTTTACCCAGGCAGGGCCCACAGGCCCACTGTACACAGGTTCCACATGAAGGAAGGGTCCCTCCCACAGCCCCAAGGACATTAGAGACCACTGGGCTAGAAAACCTAAGCCAACGATTTAGAAGGGATTTTATCAAAGCTGTGGAGCGACTTGTTGGCGCTGAAAAGAAACACATCTCAGTTCTGAAAGGAATACAGTAAGCCAAGATGCCAGTGTATGAGAGGGACAGTCATAAGTGCCACAGAGCAATGAATGCAACCGAGTAATGTGTCCCACACTGTGGGTGTCCTAGAGCAGTGAGCAAATCCAGCAAGAGCGTCATAGGGTAACAAGGATCCCAGAGTGTGAGCACCGCGGACTAGTGAGTGAAATCGAGCACAGCTGAGTATGAGTGTAAAACAGTAACACATGTAAGAGTAGTGAGTGTCTGAGAAGGTGAGGCTCCCAGAGCACCAAGTGCCACGGAGTGGAAAGCACCCTGGAGGAGGACTGCCTCAAGGGAGAAAGGAACGTGCAGTGGAAGGTGACCCCAGCCTGGACGCAGATGGCAGCTGCATCGTCCACCACGGGGTAACCTCACTGCAGGGCTGCCAGGTACACCCCCAGACCTGATGCCACAGCCAGCTATCCGGGCCCCAGGCAATGGGATCTGCCAGCAGCACAGTGAAAGCAGACAGGCCTCCCTCCCTGGTTCTCAGTCCCTGGGACAGGGAGAGAACGCTGGACTGTTGACCATTTTACTGTCACGTGGCTCACGTGACTATGACCCAGGAATACCCTTCTAAGAAATTCCTCTAGAGCTTCCCTCACGAGTCCCGACCCATGGCCTTCCTCAGCCTGCCCTAAGGCCAAGTGTGCAGGGACAGCGACCCAGGAGGAGCCCCGTGCACAGTTCTGACGGTGTGGGCAACGTGAGAACTGCACTTTTCCAGGTGGACGACGGCCCACTAGGGCAGATGCTGACTGGTGGTCTGGGCACAGAGCAGACCCAGGCTAAGGAAGCTGCCAGAGAAGGGCAGCCCGACCCCCTCCCTGAAGTTTTGGCCATCAATGTCTGTTACAGAATGTTTATTTAAGACAGTAACTCTTACCAAACTGGTAACAGCTAAAGAAAATCCTTAGGAATGAACAGATTTTAAAAAGTACGATAGGGAGATTCTAAGAAAGGCCCAAACTACTACCTGGCAGTAACCCGCAGAGTGAGCATCAGACTCCACTCCTGCCTCGGAAAACGTGCGCAGGGCCCTGAGCCGCAGCCAGCTGCGCCTGCGCCCCAGCCTCCCTGAGGAAGCCCTGTGCACACATCCACTAGAAAGTGGTCTCCAGAGGCCCACTGGGGAGAGCCAAGGGCGGTACCCAGCACTCAGAAGGTCGGACACACTGCCACGTAGGCAGTGTCCTGATCAGAAAGCTGCAGCAGGTGCCCAGGAAGAGCGACAGCCACGGGCACCACTCAGGATGTATGAGCTCCAGGCCAGGTGGGACCTCCAGAGAAAATGCCGCCCGACAGCATGCACTGATGCTACTTACAAAACGCTATTAAGAAATTCCACCTAAACATCATTTTCCTTTAAGGCACTTTAATAAATCCTAACAAAACGTGCCACAGATGGTCAGTGAAGTTAGGAGCACTGAAGTTAGCAATGGAAACGGGTCAGTTAAGAAGCATGTTAGTTATGGACCACACTAACCCTGACATGAAACAAAACCAGGGCTGGCTTACACTCTGAAGAGCCCGGACCCTCAATCAGCACGTAGGTGCTCACAGTGAAGCCAGCCCCCTTCCTGGCTCCTAGAAGCACGAGTGAGCCCAGGGCAGGGCAGCTGACAGGCCCTAGAGGGCAGGCCCCACACAGCGCAGCTGTACCCGCCGTGCTGGGGCTGCCGCAGGGGAGCTGGCGGAGCCCACGCCCGCCCCGTGCCGGCCGTGGGCTGTACTTACCCCGTTCCACTCTACGCTCATACTCACTTCCTCGCCGCCGTCGGGGCCGCTCTCGTACTTGACCACGTCCGCACTGAGGCTCTCCCGGCTGCGCCGCTTCTCTGAGCTCTCAGGGTCATTGAGCACTTCGGCCACTCTCTGCTTGTGTGCAGTGTCAAGACCCTGGGAGGGGACAACGGCACCGTCAGCTTGGATCTGTCTGCACAAAGGTCACGGACAAAGCACTAGCCCTTCATCCGTGCAGGGAGATCCCGAACAGTGGCCGCCAGAGTGAAGGCGGCCGTGCACGGGGACCGAGGGCTGCAGGCCCCACCGGCACCTGCTCGGTCAAACCAGGCGACACGGGAATGCACACAGGCAAGACTGGGGAACGTGCACCAAAGACCTGACAGCACGTGGAACGACGCACTCCAGTCCATGCCTTCTGTGCTGAAGCATCTGCCGCCTACACGCTATTAGAAACTCTTCAACAAATGAACGGATCGACAGGCAGACGGATGGGCGCGACACGTGGCAAGGCAAGGACAACGTGCCTTGAATAACAGGCTCCAGCGGGCAGCCCAGGCATGCATCACCTGAGGTTCGTCCGGGCAGTGCCCTGCTGCACACACATCCAGGATCACGCCAAGGTTTTGGTGCTGGTTGAAGGGAAAGCCACTCTCATTTTGTTTAGCATTTCCCCAAAATGGTTTGAAAGACCCCTCACTCCCAGAGTGAATGAGCGACAGGGCTCCAGAATACACCCCAGTCCCCACAGCGCCTCTTCCTCGACCTCCTCCTGGCTCATTCTACTACCCAGCAGCCCTGTAGCCTTTCACACCCCTCTGTTCCTGCTGCAGGCACTGGCCAGGCCAGTGTTTCTGGGCTCCCAGCTCCGGGCAGTGGTGACAGTGGCTGCCCACGGCCAAGAAGTAGTTGCACCAACTGGGTGCAAACCAGGCTTCTGGCACCCACAGCCCACTCCCCACCCAGTCCTCACAGTGACCTTTCTGCACCCCTATGCACACCACCCCAAGTGCCCAGACACACAGAAAGTCCTGACCAGGCTACTGGCACAGTCTTTGCCTGGCCCAGGAGCATGTCAGCGAGGCCGGCTTCCCATACCCAGTGGATACAGCATTCAGGCTTGGCCCAGGGGGCTCCTTTAAGTGTAAATACATTATGCTTATGGGGATTTAACCGGGTTGCATATGGACGGCCTGTAGATACTATGGTATTTGCCTGATGGCCTGTCTCCCAACACATATGGATGATAGGTGATGCCCACCTGTCCGTGGGTGTGAAGTTATGGGTGACAGGTGTGCCAAGCTCTAACTGCCCACAACCATGCCCACAACCAAGCACAGAAGGCACAGGGCACCTCAGGGGTGACTGCCCTCTGAGAGACCCAAAACATGAAGCACTTTCACCCATGCTGGTGGGGACAGGTGGGAGGACTAGTCCCTGACGCCAGCAAGTCTAAGCAGACACTCAGGAGATGGCCACACCCAAGCAGGGGCACCGAGTACTGTCCTCACCCTCAGAGGACCTTCCCCTTTTCACTACTGTCCCCCATTCTCTTCTGTACATGCTGTTTGGCAGGTAACCCTTATATCCTTGTAAGCAGGCAACACGGCATCAGGATTGGAAGAAGACTTACTAACAACCTGCGATATGCTGAAGACACAGCCTTGCCTGCTGACAGTGAAGATGACTCGAAGCACTTACTGAGGAAGACTAAAGACTACAGTCTGCAGTATGGATTACACCTCAACATCAAGCAAATAAAACTCCTCACGACTGGTCCAATAAGCAACATCATGATAAATGGAAAAAAGAGTGAAGTTTTCAGGGATTTCATTTTACTGGGATCTGCTGCAAAAGACCTCATTAAAGTGTTGAAAAGCAAAGATGTCACTTTGAGGACTAAGGTGCACCTGACCCAAACAATGGTATTTTTAATCACCCCATAAACATGTGAGAGCTGGACAATGAATAAGGAAGACCAAAGAACAATTGGTGCATTTGAATTATGGTGTTGGCAAATGATACTGAAAACACCACAGACTGCCAAAAGAGTGAACAAACTTGTCTTGAAGAAAGTAAAGAAGCAAGGATAGTGTGCCATCTTGCCTCACCTACTTTGGACCAGTCCCTGGAAAGGATATCATACGATAAAGTACAGGGTGAGTGAAAAAGACCCTCAAGGAGACAGACGGACACAGTGGCGGCAACAACGGACTCAAACATAGCAGTGACTGTGAGGACGGCGCAGGACCAGGCAGGGTTTCGTTCACAACGTGCGTGACATCGCTGTGAGTCAGAACCAACCTGACAGCACCCAACAACAGTGTATTACCCCGAGACGGGATGTCCGAGTTCCTCACCCACGGGGCAGAGTCGGGTGCGCTGGACAGGAGCCTAGCTCCGGGGGCCTGGCTGCTGTTGCCACTTACTCGCCTCCGGTCCGGCAGATGCTGCGCACAAGGACCTACCTGTCGACGCTACTCAGGCAGCGTCTGCTCTCTTCTCGGCTGCTGGCGATCAATCACACTACACACTTGGGGGCTCAACATGCTGCCGGTTCTTTGAAATGTTCTGGATGTTTGACAAGTTTTGTAACAAAATGAAGGGCAGGTGCTCAATTCCTAATGCTCAGTCCTCGGATGACTTCCACCTCCAAGATAATTACCAAGCTGCAGAATCATGGACTTTAAATCAGTGACGCGGCTTTCAAAACGAGCCACTGGTTTATGAAAGGCACGTGAGCAGCAAGAGGCACAGCTTGACAGCAGCCCAGCCTGCATCCTTCCAGTCTCCTCACTCCCACCCGGGTTACTGGGAACATGTCGCAAACGCTGCGGTAGTTCAGGCTGTGTGTCAACTTGGCTGGGCCTGGTTGAGTGGCTGGGCAGCTGGTGGTAGTTAGTCCCCATGAGGAGACTGGCAGTCAGCTCCATGGTGGGATCTACCACAAACAGCTGAGTAGCTGCCTTTGGGATGTGGTCTGCTTCCTGTATATAAGGAGAAGCCTTGGGAATGGTCTCTAGCCTATGGCATGTGCGGACCCTGCATGTAACCGTGTTGTTGTTCAGCAGCCTGCTATGTTCTGCCGACCTTGGGACTTACAGTGGACTTAAGTTAATGGCCTGCCATGTGGTTTGGTAACATCAGGACTATGCCTTTTTACTTGTCAACCTTGGGTATTTCAGCCTCAGCAGCCAGCAGCTGAGTGAAGAAACGCTTCTAGCTCCAGTGGGCTGGGAGCAAGAGGCAGAGCAAGACCCCAAGGTTGAGGGGCTTTCACCCCTAGAGCCTGGCACTTGAACTTGGACTTAAAGCCTCCAAATTGTAAAAATAAACTCCTGTTTATTAAGGCCATCCCATTTGTGGTATATTTCCTGTCAGAGTGGCACTAGGGAACCAGAACACAAGTTATCACCTCACTCCCACCTGGGTTACATGGAACCCGTTGCACGCCCCATCACCCCATTCCCACCTGAGCCACACGGACCCTTCAAGTGTTGTTCCCAAGGGTATGGCAGGGCCTTGTACAGACTGAGACATGAGAAGTTTATGTGCTAAAGGGACATTAATCCACACCACTGAAGTCAACGCTAACTCCCTCCCTGACGCCTCTCTGTCACTGGACAGCCACAGTGGGTGAAGTGTGTGGCGGACACAGCAGAGCACAACTGCCAGGCGTGGGGGGCATCTCCATGAAGGAGCACCGATTCTGCTCATAAACTCTCCGTCACTCATGGACGCTTGCTGACCTTTCAGTCCAAAGCCAGGCTGCTGACTTCATAGCCGCTGGTCCAGCCGCAAGAGCATCACGTGACAGCCACAGGGCTCAAAGCAGCGCGGCAGGCCAGCCACAGGGGCAGTGCAGGCTCGGGCGGGGCTCAGGCCTGCAGCCCCACAGCACCAGGCCAGGCTCCGGTCCTTAACCCCACCCAGTGCTCTCTGCACCATCTGAGGACGGAAAACGCCAAAGTGTCCAGAGAGAATGGGGGGCTGAAGAGAAAAAGCTTCCCTGCCCCCAGGAGCTGGGGGCCTCACTACTGCCCTCCAACGCTTTCCTGCTCTGATACTCTTGGGGGAGACTTTTCTGAAATAAAGAAACCTGGAAGTATGTATGGGCAGTTTAAATCCCAACCAAAAAGTGGCCAGAGAACCACCAAAGGGCCTATATCTGTTCCACTTGGGCAAAAACACACTCCTCTCGCTCAGTTCTAATGATACAGAACATGTGTGTGATAAATACAGATTAAAAAACCTTATTGCCCTCGGGTTGATTCCAACTCATAGCAACCCCGCAGGACAGAGTACAACTGCCCCCTAAGGTTGGTGTAAATTTTGACGGGAGCAGACCGCCTCATCGCTGTTCCCTGAAGCAGCTGGTGGGTTTGAACCACTGACCTTTCAAATAGCAGCTGAATACTTCAACCACTATGCCATCAGAGCTCCCTAATACACACACACACACACACACACACACACACACACACACCTTGTTCCAAACGCTGGTAACAAAGCTGCAAACGGAGGCATCTGACTTGCCTGTTTACGTGACCTCATAGCAGCTTCCTCCAAGGTCTCTGCAGCCTCAAACTTGCCCTGGCGTCGGTAGAGAGCACCGAGGTTTTTTAAAGTGGTCGTGACGGTCGGACTGTAAAGAAACACATGTGATACACGGAATGACTGTAAGATTTGGTCGGAGAGCCCGCACCACCCACAGTACACAGCCTGAGGACAAAGGCAGGCCCGGGCTCCAGCCTGAGGACCACAGCAGGCCTGGGTACAGTTCAAATCTCTTCGATTTCCAGGGCAACGTTTACACGTAAAATGTAGACGCGCCCTCCGTCTCATGCACCCTCCTCTCAGTGTTGTCTGTGACAACTCATATTCACCTTGAGGCCCTTGAAAGCTCCAAGGACAAAGCTCACACTGTATTGTATGTCCTGGGGAAGCCTGCCCCCCAGTCTCTGCAGCCCCACAGCCCACTGGGCACCCTCCGCAGACACTGTGTGTGAGCCCTGGAGGTAGCGGCTCCTGGAGGGTGCAGCACTGAGGACAGACACACCGTGTCTTCCACGCTGCCTCAAGCCCAGACGCCAAGAGGCAGAGCAGAGCAAAGCAGCATCTCAGTGAAACTGAGGTCACAGAATGAGCACGTCACATCCAGAGGAAACGACTGTGCACCGAGGACAGACAGCTGTGCTCCATGGCCCACGGGCCAGTCTACGACAAGTCCAGGGGATGGCAGTATGTCAGCTACTTGTGGCCACACTGCCTCGTCTGTGCCCCTCAGCTGAGGACAGACAGCTATGCTCCATGGCCCACAGGGCAGTCTATGACAAGTCCAGGGGGACAGCGACGTGTCAGGTGCGTATGGCCACACTGCCTCATCTGTGTCCCTCAGCTGAGGACGGACGGCTGTGCTCCGTGGCCCACAGGGCAGTCTACGACAAGTGTAGGGGGACAGCGACATGTCAGGTGCGTATGGCCACAATGCTCATCTGTGCCCCTCAGCTGTGTACATCTAGATGGCTGTGCTCTGCAGCCAACTGGGCTGTCTACAAACAATTCCTAGGGGACAGTGACACATCCTCAAAGCCGCCTGTGGTGAAACACACTGCTTCTTTCTTTTCTCATTTTCTCTGTTTACCTTGTTCATTCGAGACTGTGAGAAACTGTGAACTAGCTATTCCAGTTACATGAAAGCACACCATGTAACTGCCTACCATCACACCTGAAACTCACCTACTCCTGATCACAAGCTTTGGCTTCAGAATAACAGGGCTTAAATCTGGAAATCGGATCTGGTCCACAGGTCCCGGTACAAAACGTGGACACTGAGGCAGAGCAGACCTCAGTGTGTCAGGACCTGAGACAACGTCTCCTAGACATCTGACCTCACAGCAGGGATACACCCTTTGACATTTGCCCTCTTACTAACGACAGACACTTTCCTACAGAAATAAGCCCCTGAGGCGATTTCAGCAAGTGGGAAGGAGTGAAACATAAATGTAACTTATCCAGAGAGACGAGGGGCCCAGACAAGGGTCCTTATTCTCAGAAGTTTCCCAGAACACGGGGCTGCTGAGCCAGACCCCAGGAAAAGCAAAGTCAGGGTGGGACAGCAAAAGGGGAAGTGCTGCACTGGCAGTGGGGACAGGGACATGTGAGGTCACAGCCTGCACTGGGAGTGGGGGCAGGGACACGTCGGGGCACAGCGTGCACTGGGAGTGGGGACAGGGACACGTCGGGGCACAGCGTGCACTGAGAGTAGGGACACAGACACGTGGGGACACAGTGTGCACTGGGAGCAGGAACAGGGACACATGGGGGCACAGCATTCCCCAGAAGGGGGACACGGACACACAAGCAGGGGAGGTATAGCACGTGGAAAGAGCAACCCACGCAGCAGAACACAGAGCCTGGGAGCTGTCAGCACAGTGGGGTATGTGGAGCGCGCGTGCTGGTGTCTTCAGCATGCCGTGAGAACAGTGATCGTGGAGCCCCGGCCCTTGCAGGCCTGTGTGTTTTCCCATGAGTCTGCTGGAGGCTCCCTTAGGCCCTGCTCTTATTTATGTATCTGTCCATGTTCTGCATCACCTTGGTTTTCAACTAGGCAGTTACCCTTAACTGAATGATCTTACTGGGTGGATCCCCTTCCATGACAGTGGGTAGTGTACAACAATCTCAGTGCCCAGTTACTGCAGTTCTGACCAGTCAGGGGTTCTCAAAGCAGGCAGATGTGGGTGCAGGCGAATGGCAACGCTGTGAGGGGGGTCGCCCACCGGCTGCCCTGTCCTTAGGTGAAAAGACGCACCTGTCAACTTTGCAAGCTTTATACCAGCCACCGTACTCGCCAAAAGACGTCCCATCCTTCTGCTTTCCCTAAATTAGAAAACATAATTTCAAATAAGTCATGATTCTCAGCAGAGTCTATCTGACTGTGGAATCTCCCGGGACAGGACTTACTTTGCACTCCTCTCTTTCTTCAGCATGCATCCAAATGGGTTTATTCTCATCTAGGGAAGGAAAAGGACACCTTAGGAAAGAGAGCACCAGAGCCCACCGAGTAGGGCAGGAGCTGCCACCATTCATGACTGCAGGGTATGTGTCTTATTTTCATCTGAGGCCTCTTAACCATTCCACCTCACAACCTGAAGAGACAAAGTCTGCACTGGAGGAGAATGCCTCTGGGAGACAGAGCTGGACTACAAGGACAGGGTGAGACAGCCACTCATGGCTCACCGTGACTATCACATGCAGAAGTGCACACACACCCAGCTGGGGGGAAGCAACAGCTCACCACTGACAAGGGCCAAGACTCCTATGAGGTACTTTGTAATCTGGACTCCTCAATGATGCCTGCCAGTGTTTAGAATCTGAGGCACCCAGCAGTGAACAGTAAGTTATAAGATGTTGGAGGAAGAAAGTGAAAAGATACAAACCAGTAATGAAGGTAAACTGCTCATCCCAAAGACTGAGATTACTACAGGGCAACAGGGAGCAGCATGGCCACACACAGATCCAAGCTCCGTATCTAAGCCACAGGCAGCAGTGTGGCCACACATAGGTCCAGTCCCCATCATCTGAGTCAACAGGCAATAGTGTGGCCACACGTAGGTCCAGTCCCCATCATCTAAGTCAACAGGCAATAGTGTGGCCACACGTAGGTCCAGGCTCCATCATCTGAGTCAATAGGCAGCAGTGTAGCCACACATAGGTCCAGTCCCCATCATCTAAGTCAACAGGCAATAGTGTGGCCACACGTAGGTCCAGTCTCCATCATCTAAGTCAACAGGCAGCATGTGTGACCACACACAGGTCCAGGCTCCATCATCTAAGTCAACAGGCAGCAAGTGTGACCACACGTACATCTGATCTCCATCATCTAAGCCAACAGGTAGCATATATGACCACATAAAGGTCCAGTCTCCATATCTAAACCAACAGGCAGCAGCATGACCACACATAGGTCCAGGCTCCACCATCTAAGGCAACAGGCAAGTGTGACAACACGTACATCTGATCTCCATCATCTAAGTCAACAGGCAGCAGCGTGACCACACATAGGTCCAGTCTCCATCATCTAAGCAAACAGGCAGCATGTGTGACCACATAAAAGTCCAGTCTCCATATCTAAGCCAACAGGCAGCAGCATGACCACACACAGGTCCAGGCTCCACCATCTAAGTCAACAGGCATGTGTGACCATGTGTACATCTGATCTCCATCATCTAAGCCAACAGGCAGCAGTGTGACCACACAAAGGTCCAGTCTCCATATCTAAGCCAACAGGCAGCAGTGTGACTACACACAAGTCCAGGCTCTGTCATCTAAGTCAATAGGTAGCATCATGACCACACGTAGGTCCAGTTTCCATCATCTAAGTCAACAGGCAACAACGTGACCACACATACATCCAGTCTCCATATCTAAGTCAACAGGCGGTAGCATGACCACACATAGGTACAGGTTCCATCACCTAAGCCAACAGGCATCAGTGTGACCACATGTAGGTCCAGTCTCTGTATCTAAGCCAACAGGCAGCAGCGGGACCGCACGTAGGTCCAAGCTCCATCATCTGAGTCAACAGGCAGCAGCGTGAACACATATAGGTCCTGGCTCATCACCTAAGTCAAAAGGTAGTAGTATGACCACACGTAGGTCCAGGATCCGTCATCTAAGCCAACAGGCATCAGCATGACCACACATGGGTCCAGGCTCCACCATCTAAGTCAACAGGCAGCAGCGTGACCACACACAGGTCCAGGCTCCATCATCTAAGTCAACAGGCAGCAAGTGTGACCACACGTACATCTGATCTCCATCATGTAAGTCAACAGTCAGCATCATGACCACACGTAAGTCCAGGCTCCATCATCTAGATCAACAGGCACAGAAGGAAGGAAAGGCAAAAATGCCAAGAGGCTACTACTTGGTGATGGCGCTACAGTGATATCACATTCCTACCCTGAGGATCTGTCACAGGCGCTGAAGGGAAATAGCCAGGGACCGATCCCAGTCCCACCATTAGCTGCAAAATTGCAGACTGTAAAATTCCTTGCTTCTAAAATGGGGTGATGACTGATCCACCCCACCAAGCTGCTGTGAGCTTAAGTAAGGTAGCAGGTTCAACAGTTCATCTTAGGGCCCAGTATGTGAGTGGATCACAAACAATGAGGGTCATGCCAATGGCATTGCACAGGAGAAGAGTGAGGCTAGTGTGGGATACTGTTTTCAAAAGAGGGAACACTTCCTCACACTGCTATTTACTGCACGCTTAGTGGCAGCCCCCGAAACCGTTGTGCTGCTAGAATGCTTGTGTGTGCACCATTAACAAAGCTCAACTCCCGAGACACTGCAGGCCACCGATTTGAATCCCTGCCCTACAAGTGTCATGGGGCCCGTATGACAGTGAAGGTCCAGAGGGACCCAGTGCATCTTCCCTGAGGGGGAACAAGGCCCTGCTGGTCTCCGCTCTAATGCTTCTTGAAGGAGAAATCCAGGAGAGAGACACTGCTTCTAACCAGAACCCAGTGATCTTGTCCTGGGGCCACAGCTTCACCAGGAAGCAGCCAGCACCTTATAGGGAAGCACCCCCCAATCATCATTTCTGAGCAGTGGCACCAGCAGGTGGCCTGGACATTCCAAACCCAGCACAGCTCTGCAGTCAGATAATGGGTAGCATCTCCCTACATGTGGAGCCCTCCTGTAAACCAGTGTGTTAACCCTGCCACCCAAGCAGACTACACCTCAGGATGGTGAACCTGAAGCCAGAGACACACAGCTCCACTTACGAAGAGGCAATCATGAATAAAAAATGGGTCCGTCCAAAAAGGGTCCATCCAAAACCAAAAGTGATTTCTGTATGCAATAAAGAAAGCCTGAGTCCCCAAAGATGCCTCTGAACTCAGCACCTGATGGACCCTGGTCTCCTGCACCAAAGTGACGAGAGCCCTGTTCTGACCTCCAGGTGGAACGGAACTCAGCAAGCCATTCAAACCCCATGAAGCATCTATTCCACTTCCAGCACCTGAAGGACTACAAAAAAGAGGCACAGTCTGGGCTCCTGAAGAGGGTACAACAGCCAGTAGGTTTAGGCTGGACTGAGTGTGTACTCCGGACCGGTTCCCAAGGAGTGGTGACCACACTGCAGGTCCCGGGAGCACACACTGGCGAGTTAAAGAACAACTCTAGCAGCATGGCTGGCTCCGAGGCAGTTTTCTGGCTTTAGGGCACCTAGGTCGTGCCTCGAAGGCAACATGGAGTTTGGGTTCTCACTGCAGAGGAAGGGAGTGGACATGGTGGGAGCCGGGCAGAGGGAGGCAGCACCCTGTCAAGGAGTGCCAGGCACACCTCTGCCATGGGTGGGCCATCAGTGCACCCAGGGAGCCACATGGCACAGGAGTGTTCAAGGGGTGAATGGAGGAGTAAACCAGTGAACAGGCAGTGAAGGGCGTGCTAACACTTCCAAGCATTTTTAGAAAACTCTCCCTGAAACTGAAATCACGATCGGCCTGCAAACAGTGCAGCCTCGTTCAGCTGGAGTCACTGCTTTAAGGCACACCCAGTGCACACGAGCCTAACAGGAGGGTGCTTCTTACCGTCTACAGAACCAAACTCCCTCTCGTGTGCACGCGTGAGAATCTCCTTGTATAGCGTTTCTGCTTGTTTGAACTTCCCTTGCTTCAGATAGCAGGAGGCCTCAAAAGGAAAGACAGACAGCAGTTAGCATCTCTGGTCTACACAGCAAGCAGACACCGTGTGCCCAGGTTACAGGACAGGGGACAGCGACGCTGGCAGCCAGCACGTGCTTGGCAGCTGGTCTCCTGCCAACCCACCAGGTTGTTCTTTGTCTTGGCCACGTTGGGGTCGTCAGGCCCCAGCTTGGTCTGGTAGATCTCGAGGGCGCGCTGGTAGTAATACTCCACCTCCTCGTACTTGCCCTGGTTCTGGCACAGCAAGGCCAGGTTGTTCAGCTGCTTTGCCACATCTGGGTGGTCCTTGCCTAGGACCTGGGGGTGAAAACGGGGAAGTCAAACATCTGCTGCCTTCACTGTGTCCAATCGACTCCCACCCTCTGCAAGAGGAGTTTCCCGACACAGCGGTGACGCTGCCACACGCCAGCCTTACCGTCCTGTGCTGGCCCCACCAGGGAACAGTAAGAGCCCACGTCAGCCAGCACGGAGTAGCCCCTGACTGGGGCTGGGAGATGCCAACACTCTAGTGTTTTAACTCACTAACTGACCAACAAGCCTACCAGGCAGGGAACAGCATCGCACATACTCTGAAAATGAGGAAGGCCATGTTAATTTGATTGCCACGCTCCAGAAGACCCCAGACTTAAACCCAGACCTTCCTGACCCTAGGGGTTCTGGTGGCACAGTGCTTAAAGCCTTCGGCTGCAAACCAGAAGGTCTGCGGTTCAAATCTGCCAGCTGGTCCTCAGGAGAAAGATGAGGCAGTCTGCTTCTGTAAGGACTGACAGCTTCGGAAACCCCGTAAGGCAGTTCTGCTCTGCCCTCTAGGGGCACCATGAGGTGGAACTCCGTGTGACAGTGGGGTTTTCTGTTTTGGTTTTGGTTTTCTGCCTCTAAAACCTCATAACTACTGGAGGGTTAACAAGTTCCTGAGCACAAGCCTCCAAAGTAAAGTTGAAACTTCACTCAGCCCTCACTGTCCCTTCACGATGGGACCCTCATCCCATGTTCTTGCTCCGTCTCATTCCCAGCTGCACCATCTGCTGCCCCAGAAGCCAGGAATGCTCTGCCCCTCAGTTCTGTGGTCAAAGGTCATCTCTCAGAGGGGACCTGCCTTCACCTCACCCCCACCCAGTGGCCTCCCCAGCTGGCAGTCACCTGCAAGACTTACTACCTGGAATTATGTTCTTTTTCTGCATGTTTAGTGGACTATCGCATGACCCCACCCGTTACGATGTGAGGCTGTTGTCCTCCCCACTGTAACCTCCACATCCAGAAAGGGGATGGCACTCAGATGGAAGCCCAACTAGGACATCCCACCTTCAGACTCCACAGCATGTCACTCCCTCAGTCTGTGCCCAGGGCGGCCTATCCCCACCTCTCCCAGCCCCTACCGTCCTCTGGAGCCACTCACAGCCCCACAGGCCCTGGTCTCTCCCAGCACCGGGCCCTCCTCAGGCCTGACTGGGTTTCCATTAATCAGTGGCTAAAGTCCTCAGGCAGGGCTTGCCAAGAGAAAGAATGACAGCAAACAAATGGACGTGGAGGACCATCAGTGACACTTCACAGTCCTTCCACTTGACATGTGCGTGTCTCCCTGTGACCCCAACTAACCAAAAAACCACTCACTGCCAGGCAGCCAGTCCGCCTCACAGCCACACTGCCGCCATCTCAAGGCAGCAGTGCCAGGAGATGACCGCACGACACCCTCAAGCTGCGTGATCCACAAGCAAGCCCCTCTTACAATCCTCCCCCACTCCCTTGCCACATAGCTCAAAATTTAGCGCCTGTCTCTAGGTATCCATTACCCTGATAAAGGACAAAAACGCCAGGGAGGGGCCTGTCCCAGAAAGAAACAGAGCTCGGACTGCAGACTCCTGGCCCAATAACCATGCCACCCTGTACAGAGCACTGCTGAAAGCCTCAATCGCTTTTTCAAAACCTAATTCCACAAACTGCAGAAGACGGTGTTAAATATCCAGGAATACCCCTAATTCCAGACCCCTTTCCACAACCTCCATTAACAGCAGCAAGCGCATAACTGACAAAGCGTTATGCTGAATATGGAAAAATATCACCTTACGATGTGCCTGCAAACGCAGTGAAGTCATCACCTCTGGAAAGAGTGATTTCATTTTTAAGTTCACAAAGCATATTCTGCAAACACACTTGTATACTGTCGTGTTTTCTTACTGACAACCACCTGCTTGCCCCATTGTCAGATGAAATGTTTCCTGGCCACATGGGGCTCAGGTCTCCGTACTGTGAACAGCCAGCCCTCCCGGAAGGACCTCAGTCAGCCACTTGTGCAGCCAATCAGGCTTGGTTCTGTGGGCTGCCTGCCCACAGATGGTCAGTAACAACAGGTCACAGAGGCCGTTTCTCAAAGCCTAACAGTCAGTATGAGCAGGAAGCGTGGTCCTGCTGGCACCCACCTTCTCTCTGATCTCCAGAGCCCTCTTGCACAGCGGCTCTGCCTCCTTGTACTTCCCTCTTTTACCGTAGAGCACGGCAAGGTTATTGAGAGTCGCCGCCACCTGTGGAGACCAGAAGGCTATTCAGAAGGGCCGACCTAGCAACACACAGAGCATGGACAACATTCAGTACAGGGCAGCACTCGTGACTGGAGAGAGAACACAACCTCGGGTAGGAGCAGAAGAGTACCCCACAGGGACGCAGACAGATCAGAGACAGCTACCGTGCCGGAGTGAGAATGACAGAAATCAGCGTCCAGAGCACGGCCTTGATTTTTATTTCATTTCACTGGAAGCTACAAAGCCAACCACGACTTGGATCAGCATGAAAAATCTGACCAGATTTTAATAAAACGTCAGCACAAATTCTTTTGCAAAAAATTTATAGTACATGCGATTTGATTTAGGATCAAAAACAGGTACGTGAGGGTTTTGGGGCAGTGGTCGTAGACAGATGAAGTGTATGCTGGCGTGAGCTGACCGTCAGAGTCCCCACACGACCACTTACCATCAGCGTATGTGAGTGAAGACCTCCTACCTGCAGCCCGTGAGAAAGCAGCTCTTAAACCTTCCCTGGAGGGTTTAACATTCCTATGAGTTGGGTGAAAAGCATCCCAGGGAAACCAAACAGGACAGGGGTAACAGCAGCAGACATACGAACCGCAGGGTGGTCTTTGCCCAGGGTCTTCTCACGGATGGCCAATGCATCGTTCAGAAGATTGGCAGCATCTTTGTATTTATTCTGATCCCTGAAGTGAAAAACACACATCAAGTGTTTCACGTGTAGCTTACAAGGTCATCTTTTGTAAACATCATTTTCAAACTCCGAAATAAAAGCTAAGCTTTGCCTACTGACAAGTAGAAGTCAGTAATTCCAACTGTTTAACCACCAGCCAACCCTGTGAGGGCAAGGGGCAAGGAGGAAACGCCTCAGGAGCGGACTGCAAGGTGAGCTGGGAGTTGGGCCAGCACAGATCCCACCAGCTCCCCTGCTGCCAAGCTCTCTGGCCTGGCCCCCTCAGCCCACATGCCCCAAGCTAAATCACAGGTCACCCAGTTCCTACCCAGCAGTGTTGCTCTGAGGATTAAATGGCCCAGTAAGTGGGGCAGTACAGACAGGACAGGGTCGGGTCTGGCTCTGCCAGTGAACAGCCGTGCAACTTTGGAAATACCAAGCAACGTCCCAGCGTCCCTGTGCTGTGGCTGTAAACGAAATGCACTCCCTGCTCAGTGCTGCTGTGAGAATTAAGATGGCAATGACATGCTACACTGATCATGAAAAGGTCTTTTGAAAAACAGCAAATAAAGTATCCTGACTTAAGAATACTGATGGGGCAATGGTAAACACTCATCTGCTAACCAAAAAGTTAGTGGTTCAAACCCACCAGACACTCCATGGGATAAAGAAGTGGTAGTCTGTTTCTGAAAACATTAAATAGTCTTGTAAACCCAATGGGCAGGTGCTACCCTACAGGGTCACTGTGAACCGCCATCAGTGGGACAGCAAGGTTTTAGGTTTTATCTTGGCCGACTACACAACTGGCACCATTTTCATGAGTATAGAGACATGAAGGGTCTTTCTGACTCTGCTCAACAGACACTGTGACTCAGACCCTCCCACCACCAACAAGGGAGCTCTGGTAGCATAGTGGCTAAGGCACTTGACTGCTAACCAGAAGGCGGGCAGTTCAAACCCACCAGCCACTCCTCGGAAGGAAGATGGGGTAATCTACTTCTGTAGTGATACTGCCTCGGAAACCCAAGGAGGGGTCGCTATGAGTCGGGTCCGACTCGACGTCACATAACAACCACCACCACTACCACCACCACCACCAAGGCTGACACAAGAGGCTGGTGAGACTGAGATCCTCCCTCCTACTCTGAGCGCTGGCAGCCACACGGCCAGGCCTGGCCCTGGGACTGGGCCCTACAAGCCCCTGAACCCTGGCCAAATGCACTATCTGGTGGTTCCTCATTACCCTGTTAACATATCACATGCTGCTGCCAACTTCTGAAAGCCCAAGGGTGTGGGGAAGTTTCAAAAACGAGTCACCACAATGAAAAAAAAAAAAGATTACCCTAAGAGCGTGGCAAGGACTCAGCAAGACAGCACCTAAAGCACATGTGTAAACCGCCTGCTCAGCAAACATTTTCAGCAAGGTCAGCTGAGCCCTAGTGCATGTCTTAGGGGTGGCCCCCTTTTCAGAGCCACACAGCCCTGTCAGGAATCATCAAATGTCTATCCTATGCTTAACCTGTTTGAGGACTGATCCTGAGAGAAAAGAATCCAAATACTCAACAAAACTCATCAAGGTGTTCATCGGAATGCTCTTGGCCAAAGTGAAAGCATTCCACTGGATGGCCCATGAAGACAGAAATGCAGCCACAGGAGGAATGTTAACACGGCCAGCCAACCCAGGGTCAGCACCAGTGCTAAAACAGGATGGAAACACTGGACTGAAGAGCACGAGGGTCAGCACAGCATGTGCACACTGCAATACCTGCCAAATGTTGAAGAACTACACGAGAAGGCTACTGTGTTCCCAGTGCTTAGCTCTGTTCACGGCTTTCTATGTGGTCCAACATCTCTGCAAGAGTATTTTACAAACAGGAAAAATACCTAAAACAAAGGAATCGTGGTCTTTGTGTATATTTTTCTTATCCAGTCACATAGGCAACAGCATACACTGTTCGTGGGCAAAGACACGGAAAAGTCTTTCGAGAAGAAACTTAGCATTATCTGTGAAGACTAAAGCAAGTTCACAAGAATGAAAACATGGAGTTCCGGTAAGATGGCGAAATAGGCAGACAGACTGTGCAGACCCTCTTCAACAAAGAAAAGGGGAACCAATTAACACAGATACAGAGGATAAGCCTGGACCCTGAACCTTGAAGGGAATGATACAGAAGTAGACTAACCTCCAACTAGCAGGAGAATTTGCATGAAAACACCAAAAAAAGAGACATACAGACCTGCAGTCTGGCAGCAATCCTGAGCAATCCTGACGACACAGACAGCTTGGAGAGTCCCAAGTGCTGGCAGGATCTAAGACTTAATCTAAAAATCAGCCCTGCTAGCCAAGGACTGCACAGAGGACTGCTCTGGTGGCTGGGGAATAAACGGAAAAGGTGAAGAGAAAGGCAGGCTGAGCTGTGGACTTTTGCCAGTCTGGAGGTCACCGCCATTTTGAAGGTTTAAAAGCAGCTTGACTATTTTGGATATTTAAAGAGACATCACACTTGCAGATTCCTGGGGCTTAAGAACACATTCTGCTTTTCAGCAACCCCAGGGTCACTCTGGACCTGCAAGACTGAAAAGTTTTTTTGATGGTTATTCAGTTGTATTGTGTCTAACTAAGTGGGAGACAACAACAGTCCCCATAAGACACAACTACACCCACAGCTCCTGCAACTTCACTTACTGAACAAAAGCCACTACCTCCTTCTCCACCAACGGGCCAACGATAAAAAACCACCAAGAAGAGCCTGAATCACCCTTGACTGCTCTTCACAAACAGTTAACAGAAATCTAAATACAACAATGCAACAATGACTCAGAGACAACAGACCATCACAGTCCACACAAAGAAGCAAGATAAAGTGGTAGAAACAGAGCAGGATACAGACCCAGAACACATCCCTGAGGAAGAAGCAACATTGGAGCTCTCCAATAAGGAATTCAAAAGAATTATATTTAGGTATCTTCAAAGGATTAAGAGACAGACCAAAGAAAACACAGAAAAAACCCTAGAAGAATTTTGAAGAAAATACAAGAACAAAATGACAAAATAAATGGAAAAATTAGAAATGATTCTAAATCTACAGACAGAAATCCAGAAGATTAATACTAAATTGTCAGATAACACATTGGAAGGGCAAAGGAGCAGAACTGATGTGACGGAAGACAGAACTAATGAGACTGAAGACAAATACCTGAATTCTTCTTTGAAAGGGATCAATCAGAAAAAAAATCAAAACAAAATGAAGAAAGCCTAAGGTTCATGTGGGATACCATCAAAAGGAATAACTTACGTGTCACTGGAATTCCAGAACAGGAAGAGAAAAACAAAACCACTGAGAAAATT